ATACCTATTATAATGCAGATATATCTTTATTAGAAAATTTATATATTGTACCTAAATAAATGTATTCATATGAATTATAATAATTGAGTAAATATTTAGATCGAATACATACAGACAAAATTTCCTAATAAATATTTGAATTGATGTATCTTCGAAAAACTTTCATTATCATAACATATTTTTGTATTATTTCAATGTTAACTAAATGGAAAAGTGTTAAATAATTTTTTTTTTTTTTTTTATTGAAATTTACTACCGTAATAAATCTATATTTAATATTAATCTTAAAAGAATTAAATATTATATATATTTAGGTTGCTATAACAGTATTTGTTATTGTATCTTTATGTATTGTTTGCTGTATTGTTACAACAATATGTATTTGTATTAAATGTTGTTGTGGTGGTAGTGGTAATAATAAACGAATGAGAAATCAAGGTAAATTTGACAAAAAACTAATTTAATATTATATTTAATTTGTTATTAATTTAGGTTTTATTACTACACCACAACCAATTGTTATTCATACAGGTTCATCAAATTATCCATCACCATATAATTATCAACAAGCAGTAGGATCATCATCATTACAAACATGGACATCTGAAAATCATCCAATGTTACCTCAACCAAGTGCACCACCACAACCTATAGATGATTATCTTACGGAACGTCCACCACCTTATGAAAAAATTTGTACAAGTAGATAATTAAATTATATTTATATGAAGAATAAAACAAAAAACATATAATTGTTTTGTCAGATGTTGTCTGAACTATTTTTTTTTTTTGTTGTTGTTGGTTCATATCATTATTATATCAAAATTTAGGATGTATTCTTTTCTTTTTTTCTCTCTTCGGTATAACAGATTTTCTTCTACAAATAATGTTATATACATATGTATTAAATAGTTTTGTGCATGTTTGTTTTTTTTTTTTTTTAATCAGCTTGATAAAGTTGCATAATAGATAATTAATCGTATTCAAATCGGGCATGAAATATATATATATATAAGAAAAAGGAAAGTGTAAATTAGGTCGTTCAAAGATAACTATACTTAACAAAGTCATCCGTGTTGAAAACAATTGTTTACTTCTCTGATGGTAATTTAGCTGTTCATCTATGTGACCTTCGTTTACTTGTCGATAGTAAAAACATGAAAAAAATATATTTTATTTTTAATAAATTGAAAAATTGCTTTTTATTTCTATTGACCTATATTATTGATATTTAACAAGAAAAAGGATTGATAGAATCTATTAACATTATTCAAGGATTAATAAGTCAAAAAAAAATAAAATTATTTTATTATATTCATAGAAAAATTAGGAATTTTTTTTTCTTTTGAAGTGGATTTATTGACACGGAAAATATTTATCTCTTATATCAATATAAGTTTTTTCTTTGTTCTGACAAAAAAAATTAATTTACAATTTATTTATATAGCACTGTAATCAGGATTTTTAGATCAATGAGCAAATTCCTTTTATGTCGAAAAACAAAACTGATGGGTACCATGCGCGAAGTTTTTATTGATAGGCTAAAATTTTTTTTCGGCCAACAACTTACTGATAATCACTGTCGTTCGAAAAATTCACAGAAAATTGTCTACTATACTTCTTCAAAATTGGAAAAAAACTTGAGGTATTTCTTCGAAAACGGAGAAATATTCGATAGAAATTTTTCAGTGATGAGACAAAATTATCCTTAATTTTTTAAAAGCTGAAGGATACTTCCACTCGGACCGCCGATGAAAGATAAAATTTCAATGGGCAAACCTTCAAAGCAAATAGATAATTGCCCTTCTCTTTGGTTACGCCTTTGTATTTATCGAAATATCAATCAAAACGATATGCAAAAAAATGTAAGAAAGTGAAAAACAAAATTTCATTTTCTTTTTCTACAATTTTTTGAATGAAAATCTCTGAAAGTATTTAATAATTATATAGACTATTATTTTTTTTTTTATGCAAAATCTAACAAGTTTTCATACATCAATATCAATATGTGATTGTTTTGAATCTACTCATCATTATTATAATGAAAAAGTTCGAATAATGAAGGCGATATAAAGGAAATTCTAGGGCAAACCAACTAATGTTTCCTTTTCCGCATTTTATCATAGCAAGATTGACATTTTCTTCTCTCATTAGACGAAATAAGTCATGTTTATAAGTATAAAGAGAAAAAAGAGAACGCAAAGCTCGTTAAATAGTTGTATTCTTGTATCATTAAACACATAGCGTCTTTTCGCGCACTTTGCTTAGTATTTCACGCACATCTTTCTAAGGTAAAAAAAATCTAGAGAAGATCTTTATTTTTTGTCAATATAATTATTTGTAATTATTACATGTGAACCAGAATAAAATATTTAATTCATTATTAATTGGATTTTTACTAAATTGAACATTGTCATTAGTGATTTCCTTTTTTTTTTTTTTTTCTAGAACTTGTCTTTTTCTTTCTTCGCCTCCTCAACACTTCATCTTTGTCTCGATAGTCTCTATGTTTTCTTTTTTGTGCGTTATTAGTCTTTCTTAACTCTTCTATACTATGAAGATATGGTTATTTTAGTCATTATTGTTAATAGATAGAATATACAAGCTTATTAAACTAGTTCAGATAAAGACATTTGTATATTTTGTAAGTACGTGTACTGAGAAAATTTCTTTAGAGAATTTTTAATATATATATCGAGATTTAAAGATGATAAATATTTAGCTTTGTTAAATAAACATTTATCGTAATTGCATTTCCCTGGAAATTCAAATATTATTCATCAATAGATTAGAAAACAAAAGTTACTAGATAAATGAAAAGGATTAACAATAATATTCATTATTAGAAAAATAATATTAAAAACAAAAAAACAAAGGCTGTCACTTTTGTATTGAAGTATAGAAGAATGTTAAGTAAGCTGTCTCATCAATAGCTTTATTAAATCAATCATAAGAATCTGTCTAAAAAAAAAATACAATCAAAATCTAGAATCAATTGAATTAGTATAGATATGTGATAGAGATAATTTAAGTTGAAATATATATATATATATTCGAAAAAACAACATTTGTCTTGTATTTTTGATATTCATAAGAAGAACCATCAAACATAAAAATAAATTCAAATTTATATTGAATACTTTTTTTATTTAAAGATCACTTAGTTTTTTCATGAGTAAAAGTTTATCCTTTTCTAAGATTATTTATTTCTTACATTATAGAATAATAATTATTATTATATATTCTAGATGGTTAGTGTACCTGATTTTTGTCATAATATTAATCTAACATTTAATGAAACATCTTATCAATATTTATCTGAATGTTGGACTGAATGGCGAATATCTGAATATTTACGTATATATTTACCATTAATTATTTTACCTATATCACTTATAAGTAATTGTTTATCATTTTTTGCATTACGAAGTCGTCATATGCGTGGAACAGCAACAGCATATTTTATGCTTTTACTTAGTATTCTTGATCCACTTGTATTATTAACAAAAAATCTTGTTTATTATCCAACATTTCTTTCAGCTCATACAATATCATGTAGATTACTTTATTTTCTTATTTATGTTGTTGGTTATACAACTGTTTGGATACTTGTTATAATGACGGCTGATAAATTTGTTGCTGTATGGTTTCCACTTAAAGTTGCATATGTTTGTACAATACGTCGAGCTAAATATGTTTGTATATTTCTTGTTATACTAACAAGTATTGTATCATTTCATCATTTTTGGACAATAACAACATTTCCACATCCAAAAGATTTTACAAAACGTGTTTGTTTTTATGATATGTTACATTATAATAATATACAACATATATGGCGTTATATAGATTTTTTTATTTGGTGTTTTTTACCATTTATTCTTATATCAATATTAAGTATATTAATTATTTTTAAATTACGTCAAAAAGGAAATAATTCAAATCAAAATCTTGAAAAAATTATGCATAAAAATATTAAATCTCGAGAAGGTAAAATAAATAAATATATATTTAATAGATAGATAAAAATCAAAAAAAGAAAGAAAGAAAGAAAGATTTACCAATTTTATTATTCAAATTCTCTGTAGACATGAAAAATTTTATATGCATAAATTTATAATTCAGCTCATATTAACTATTATAATCGATACTATACTGTCTCATTACATATGAATAAGATTATGTAAATAGATTGTCTATTTAGCATTTCTAAATTAAACTAGACATAGAAATACTCTAAATTTTCTTTTAAGTTGAAAATGGAAATCGTTTGAATTCAAATAAAATAAATAATCAAGATTTAATAATGCGTAGTCATCAAAAAGTAAATATTGTTCGTTTACGACATCGTCATATAACATTTATGTTACTTGCTGTTGCTGGTGTTTTTCTTCTTTTTACATTACCTAATAGTATCTATTTTGTACTTGATATTACATATGGTTTTAATAAAAGACCAACAACTAATGATTATTATCAATGGTTACGTCATCGTCGTTTAATTATTTTAACTGTACTTATGTATCAATTAAGTGATTTACAACATGCAGCAAATTTTTTTATATATTTATTAGCTAGTGGAAAATTTCGTCGATCAGTTATTAGTACATGTATATCAATGATATATATATTACCTGCATTATTAACATGTTCATATCAACGTAGAACAAATTTAAAACAGTATTCAAGTAGAAGACTTGATAGAGACCACTTTGATATGTCATCTCGTCCGAGTGCATCTGATATGTCAAATATGATGCGACCATCACGAGATACACTTAATAAACAACAACAACAAACAAAACTTAATGACAAATGTCAAGCATTTTTATCAAAATCAACTGCAAGTGACATATCACAATATGAAAATAAGAAAGTAACTTTTTGATTTTTTATAAATCCTAAATCATTTTTATATTTTCTATTTGTTATAGAAAAAAAAAAAAAAAAAATTTAGGAATAATAAAAAAAAAAAAAAAACATAACATCAGCAAATATGTTTACACTTGTACATGATTCCATGATGTAGTTCGTAGAATATCTTTTAATAAATGAGAATTTTCATTTTCAAATGCAGCTATTCGAGCTGAAAAACGTTTATTATTATAATATGATGTTGTATTTGTTGTTTGATTATCAACATCATCATCATCATCAATAGTTGAATATGTATTCAAACTTATTGGACTATTAACATGTCTTCTTATTGATTGACGACGTGAATAAGATGTACTTGTACGAGAATTTATTGTTCCTTTACGTATTGGTGTTGCTGATATTGATAATGATATTTTATCATTTTCATTATTAGCACTCGGTTGTTGTTGTTGTTGTTGTTGTTGTGTAGCTAAATTAGTAAAATACATAACATAAAATGGACATGAAGCTGATTTAGTTCCTTTCGAACGATGATCTTTTCTTTTAGAATATTTTCTATTTGATAATGATGATAATGATGATGATGATGGTGGTGGTAATGAATTTAAAGGAAAAATACTTTCATTTCCAACATTTGATTGTTGTGGAATTTGATAAGCATGAGTTATTTGATGATTATTAGTATTATTATCTTCTTCATTGATTGTTGGTGATGATTCCGTTATACCAGATAAACTTTGTGTTGATTTACTCAATATATCAATCGTTCCTGAATTTGATATAATCGTATTTATAGTATTATTTGTTATAGCTGATGGATAACGTTGATGACCAATATCAACTATATAATTTGTACTTGCAGATGAAATACGATATGATGTTGAATATGATAAAGCACTACGTGGAGTAGCAATTGTATCCTAAAATTTTTTTTTTAATTTTTATTCTTAAATATTTCTCATAAAGAAAATTGATAGCATAATATAAACTTTACTAATTTATTGTTTTGTCTAGTTACTAATGGATGAAGAATAAATATTTCATTAGACTATAATTATTATTTTCTTGAAAGAAGTTTATTTTGATAGTCTAATGATTAATATAAATGATAGAACTATGTTTTGTTTTTATACAGAATATTAACAAACATGATAATATATCAATACTAGGCTTATATTTCATCAATGCATCAATAACTATATTTGATACTCATCAACTGATTAGCATAATCAAGGTCATAAACAAAAATTCTTTTTGCTGAAATAGTATCAAGTTCGTAAAATAATTCGAATATATATATTAGATTTTATCGTTATAATTGTATCAAACACATTATGAGATTTTTAATATTTGCTTTTATTTTTCTTCTCACATTCTTGAAAATGCTTCCGATCGACAATACTCTACTTCATAAAAACGATATATTTTGTACACTTCTATATTTACCTCGGCGAATAGCATACGATAAGAGTGACGAAAAACTTTTCTCAGCTAATATACGGAAAAGCTAATCATGCACATCTGTATTCTGATTATCAGTTTTAGAATCTTTCTACTAGAGTAAAATAAGAATTTAAAAAATTTTTCTCCGTCAAGGGGTTATAGGTTATGGAGAAAAAAAAACTTATTCTACACATTTCAACTTGTGAGAAATGGGATTAGTTTATGGTTTATTTTTTTCGAAAACTAAATCGATTCTATTTCTGTCCTACACATATTATTCTGCTCGATTAATTCTATATCATATTTCTTTCTTTGTTTACAAATGTAATATGAGATAATAAATTAAAGTAAAAAATTATCATACTCGATTTTGTTGAGTTCGTAAAAGTTTATTTAAATCTCCATGAAGTTTTAATTTATTATTAAGATGATCAATTTCGGATTTTAATTTTGTTGAAGTATGTGATGGACTAAATGGTTGTTTTGATGAAGATGAATTTGTTTCATGTAATTTTTGATGACGTATTGGTGATGGACGAAAACCAGTTCTTAGAATATTTTTACTTAATAACAAATTATTTGTTGTATCATTTTTTAATGCATTTATTCTATCAATACGATAATATTGTTGAATTTTTGAAATTTTTCTTTGTTCAGATGGTATTGATAATTGATTAGTTGAATTTGTATGACGAGATTGACGTGACATTATAATTGGTTGACTTTTTAATGATTTAACTTCTTGTATAGTATCACCAGCAAAAAGTCCTGTTTTATTTTTTGGTAAATTAACTATTGTAGTAGTTGTTGTAGCTGTCATCTTATAAGAGATGAAATAAAGTGTATTATTGATTGTGACAATATAATTCACACATGAAACAAAAAGAAAAAAATAATGAAAGACAGCTATGTTTCTAATTTGTTACGAAAAGAGCAAACACATAATAAAGTAAAAAAGAAAAAAAAAGAAAACTTATTGTTACACGTCATATCCTAACATAGTTACTCAAATATAAGGTAGAAAGAAAAAAAACCGGGTTATAAAAATTGTCGTCGTCACATGAATTGATTGTTTGATTGGATTGTATTTATATATGAAATAGTTATAAGAGAAACTAGAAAAGGATTTATTACTGATTCTGTGTAACTATTTTTCTTTCTTGTTCTTTTTTTTTTTTTCATATATGAAAAAATAAATATAAAAATATTCTTGAATTATTATTCTTTTTTTTTTAAAAAGTACGAAAATTTTTTGATTTCTTTCTAATCAATACAAAATTTTTATTTACTATCTTTTGAAAAACAAAAAAAAAGAAAAGAAGTATCAAATAACAATAAAATGTGATTATTTCTTTTGTTTGGCTTTCATTTATAATGTATTCTATCGATATTTTGAAATAAGATCAGAATCCAAAATAAATAACAAACGAAATGAAATCTAAAAAATGTTTGCACATCAAAAAGAATACTTTACGGACAATACATTATGTATTTTTTCTAGATCAATAATCAAATATATATTAAAAAAAAAAAGTTTTGATAAATTTTTAATTATAAATGAATAGTTGTTTTGAATTATTCAAAACAAAAAGAAAAAAATCCTTGAATTTGATTTCATAAACTAAATATAACATGCACAAAAATGTGAAATATCTCAGTTTTGGTTTATTCAAAGCTTTTTTTTTTTATTCTTCATAAGAATAATATAAAAAAAAATTCTACTATTATTGTTGATCTCAATGAAGAAATTTTACCTGTACTCAAGTGAGAAAAGTACATATGTAACGCTCTAGGATAATATTCAGTTATTGTCAAAGAGAATAAAAAGAAGAACCTTAATAAATTATATGTCAATGATGCATATAGAACATATTTTTTAGGGCTACGAAGTTTATTTAATCGTTGATATTCTTGTCCGGTAATGAAAAACACACACAATTGAAACACGTTAAGTACTATATCCGCTACTTCCTTTGGAAGATTAATGCTTCACACTTGAAGATTCAAAATGTTGGAAATCGTTGAATTTTGAATTAACTAATCCGGAATATTGATTGAATGTAAAAAAAATTCATAAAGTTTATTTTGAGTCTCTTAGATGACTACTGAAAATTATCTAGGAATGTTACATATATTTTTCTTACTTAAGTAAGGCTAAGTGCAACTATAATATTAGAATGAACCGAAGTGGAACTATTTCAAAATATTATTAGAGTGTTATTGATGTACAATCCTGTTTTGTTGTTTAAAATTTTAACTTTGTTACATTTTTTAGTAGTCATTTGATATTTCAATGGTGATTATTGATTCTTCTTTTCATACTAATCAGCAAAACTGACTTTGTTTTGAAATATAGACGTTGAAGATGATGTTACATACGATTTTTGTTTGACAATAGAAAATTGTTTGTGTTTTGATTTTATTATTATAAGATAGAGAGAGAGAAAACAAAACATAAACATTGAATTTTGACATTTTGTTGAAGAGTTTATTTACATATTCTTAAAATAAAGCATTGATAAAATAACGATGAGAATTCTTTTCAAACTTCTCCTTCAAAAAGAAAAAAATAATTATGCTGTAAACAGACAAAAAATATTATCGTTGGTATACTTATATAGTTCCTAATCAAATATTGAAATTTAAATATAAATAGAAAGTTTACGTTTACAAAATTTGAAATTTTCACAATGGATTAGTTGCGTCATGAACTTTATTTATCTAAAGATTGAACTCGAAAAATAACATTGAAGATGATCTAATAGAAGCCAAGAAAATTCATTCAAAGTCTGATAATTGAAACACAAAAATCTGCAGAGATGAGACATTTTAGGTTTTTTGTATTTCCTGTACACTCATGTTTGATTTAGTTGTTTAAAAAACTTTTCCAAATATTTAATGTAAACACTTTTACGCTTCTTTCTTCATATGCACATTGTTCAGACCTAGTTGCGTGCATAAATCAAAAAATACTTCACTTTTTATTAATCCTTTAGTTATCAGATCCCCTTTATATACCGATTGAGCTTTTATGAAGTTTATAACTTTTATATGATACCTCTGTATAAAATGAGAATGAAGAAATTGTAGATTTAGACATTCCAAGTCCTGTGAAACCAAACAGAAATCCATAAAACTGCATAGAATCCTAAGATCATGGTCATCTCAAAAATTGTCGATTATTGCTCAAGTTCTAATATTACAGAAAACTAAACTTTCAATTCCATCAGACCTATGTTATTATAAGGGATTCGTGGAGTTATAAACAGAGCTACTCAAAGGATTCCACAAGGCTTTGGGCAGCTCTATTCGACATTGCAAGTACTGAATTACATAGTATTGTTCGAAGCCTAATGTAATTTATTGTGTTTCTTTACTGTATATACTCATTTCAAAATTTCTATGAGCAAAATGTCATCTTTGGAAAAACTCTGTAATCAAACGATTAATCATATTTTCACATGACTACTTATACAGCATTTTCAAGTTAAATATATAAATTAGTAAATAAAATTGATGGTTTTCAACATTGACACCACATATAGATTCGTATCGAACATGACATGTTGAAGAACTAGTGATCATCATTAATAATCTCTATCACAATATCAAGCGTCAGAAAGTCAATGAAATCCTATGAAATTTAGAGATCACTTGATGATAACATTGAGTTATTGTTTTTCAATTTTGTAAAATATGATCTAAAAAGAGTGTTGAAGAAGAATAGAGGGTAGACATTTGGATCGCTTCCTTCTTTTTCCAAAGACTGAGATTAGAATCCAACGGGTTAATCTCTTAACTCTCTCCTTGAAGGTACGAATAACAACTTTATTAGTTTTTACATTTGAAGCTCATAGGAATTCTGATAACAGCTTTCATTTTTGGAATCGCCAGAAAGAACATCGAAATCTTTTACAAATTCTTCTATCAAGCAAAAACTTAATACTTTCATTCATAATTCATTTAAATACACAAAATCGTCAATCGTTCTTTGCGTCTCGACAAAATGAAATGCCTAATTATAAGTTCAATAAATTAAAATAATTTATTTCATAAGTTTTGTCTTATAGTAGCGAAACAAAAGAAAACAACATAATTGATAGACAATTAAAGCAAATATCATAAAGGCTTAAAAGAAGTATAATTATTTTTTAAATAAAATAGTTTAATAAATCGTTTGTAATCTACTTTGTATATAAATAAACGAGATTATATATCGAAAAAGACAAAAAAAAAAACGAATAGTTTCACATAAGTTCTATTATGACAAAATTATTTTTCTAATCGACGTTGACGAAGTGTCTGATCAGTTGTTGTTTGTTCTTCCTGTTCATCTTTCTCTTGAGCGACATCAGAAGTATTTGAATCATTACCTGAACCATCACTTTCATCCAGTTCAGACGCGCTCTTTTCTTGATTTTCAACTTTTGTTTCTTGTACTGTTGATGAAATAGCCGTTGTATTTTTTTGTTCTTTTGATTTTAATAATTTTTCTGCATCAATTTCAACCTAACGTTTACAACGAAATCTAAAAAAATCTTTTTTTTTATTGTTTTTTTTTCTTACCAATTCTTTTTTATCTTTTTTAGCAGCACTTCTAAAAATTTTAGAAAAAATAGCCATACAGCAATCAACAAACACAACTGAAAGCTATACATAAAAAAGAACAACAAAGAGATATTAAATAAAATTAAAATAACAAACTGTACATACAAATCCAATGAAAGCTCCTAAGGCCACAATCCCAATACCAAGAATAGCATAGATAACCCATGTTGGCCATCCATATTGTTCATGCATTAATGTATAAGTATTCTAAATATTGATGAAATAGTTCAATTTTCAGTATGTTCTTTCTTTTTCTGTTATTTAACAAACCTTAAGTACATTCGATAAATCAAAAGCTATGCTGTTCAATGACATTCTTTTAAAGAAGAAAAGAAAATAACTACATAGAATATATAGTTAAATAATCTACATACAAAATACTATCTGGAGCAGAATGTGATGGAATTGGTTCTGTTTTTCGCCATTCTTTATTTGCAATATAATTGTCTAAAGCATGTAATGAACGTTCACCATCGTATAGACGAAAAGCACCATCACGTACACTAGATTAAAAGAAAAATTAGCTTTTAAAATTCTTCTTATTTTCAATTCTTTTGAAACTATTTCAATTCTATTGTCGACCTTCCTCTCTACGATCTTAAATAGTAATGAATATACATCAACTAGTTCGATTAATCTACACCAACTAAATCAAACGTTGATATTTATTAAAAAAAAACGGTTTATAATTAAATCATTCAACCTGTTATCATTATGTAAAATAAAAACATTGGAAAATAGACAATAGTATTCCATGACTTTTCATAGAGATATTTTATGAATATATGATAAATTTTCTTCTTCGATAGATGAAGATTATGCCTTGATCAAAATCATAAAACAATTATTTAGTTCGCACTTCTTCAGAAACTCGTTAGTACATATTCAATAACTTTATATCTTAATAAATGTCTTACAAAACTTCATGAATAGAAAAATATATAAAAGATTGATTGCATAGCAACCAATGTAGGTGAAAGAAATCTAAGTAAACCTTCGTTTTTTTTAAATATACTTACTGATAAATCGTAGGTAACGTTGAAACACGAAAACGACCCGAAAGTGAAGGATATTGATCAATGTCAACAGCAGCTACTTTAAGTTTTTTTGGTGACATTGCATTAGAAAATTCATCCCATATTGGTTTAAAATGCTTACAAGCTCCACACCATGTTGCATAGCTAAAGGAAAAATATACGATCATTTTCAAAA